GTGTGTGTTTTCTGTTTCCCTTTGAAGCCCTCTCAGCTGGCCGACCAGTCAGAGAAGACGCAACACAAAGAAAAAAATAGCCTGATATGCCTGGGCCTGTGGTTAACACTTACCCTTTTACCATCCTGCATTCAGAATGACGCAACAAAGAATATAGGGGCAGTGAGAACATAGAGTGAATCATAAGCTCTGATCATGCCCTAAACTTGACTGACAGAAGAATCATAACAGACAAGCAGCATGTAATAACATAAAAGTCTGTTTATATAAGACTCTTGAGCTGAAAGATCTGTTAGGTCTCTGAAGTACACAAAAGCCACAAACAGAGGACCATGTGACATATCACAGATGTCCAGCAAATTTGGACCAACATTAAATTACTTATTGCAAATTCTGTGTTTCAAAATTCCACATTTTAAAAAGTTATTTAGCTATCAATACAATTTGAGCATTAAAAAAAAGCTATAACTGTGCAACCCACCTAAGTGTTTTTTAAAGCACAATCTTTATAGTATGACTAGGCTGTACTTTTGTGTAGTACCAATTTGTACCACAAGACAGTGGAGTGAATCAGTCAGACAAGTCAAGTTTCCGGAGGAAATCGGAAATGTAAAGTGAAACCAGTCTGTTAAATCTGCATTTTTTCACATGGCCAGCAAGGGGCAACATCTCTGGTTGTAAAAGGAAGGCAGATTGTACAGAACTCCATGTAGCTCTTGGCTCCCTTATTCTATGTGTGATGACTTTACATGTAAACCTGACTCTTTGGTCGCTTCTATCGGTGTGTAGTAAGTCTATTTTCATCTGTTTAGCAGGTCATGTCAGTGGGGGGATCCGGGGGTTTCTCTGTGAATTTCACGTTCCTGTGGCAGCGTGCTAGGAGCCACATTTAATTTTTCCCTGTAGAAAGAAGTTTTCTTCCCACACAGAGTGTACAGTGGACGCTAATGTCAGTACTTTCAAGCTTTAAACGCTGCATGGTCGTCTTCTCTCCCACATTCCATATTATCCATTGTTGATCTACACACGTCTGTTGCTGATGTCGCACGCTCGCACGTCATTGTCATGAGACACTCTCACAAACAAAATCACGGTTTAGTAACGCAGTAACGCAGAGTGCTTACAGGAAAGTAACAGTAATCAAATTATTTTTTTGCAATAGTAATCCCTTACTTTACTAATTACTTGACAAAAGTAATCAGGTTATCTTTGGTCATGATGTGGTTAAAGGAACTTTATGTAAGAATGAGACATAAGCATAGTGAAAGGAAGAAGATACTCAAAAAGCGACAGTCACATGCAAAATATTTTGTTGAATACAAGTAGG